AAAGTATTTTTAATGTTAAGATGAAAATTACTTTGCATAATAGATAGGCAAGATGTGAAAACAAAAAGGCATGAGAAAAACATTGCTTTACAAACCTTAAGACATTAAAAAAATTCAGTGTTTTACATATGAAAGCATTGTAATGTTTACTGATAATGTGCCAAATTTCATTATTAAGACTTGGATATTTTGCATATGAAAGCATTGTAATGTTTACTGATAAACTGCCCAATTTCATTAACATTCACTTCCTAATTCAAAAATTATAGCATGGACCGAGCCCGGGTAAAAGAGTTAAGGGAAAGGTAATACATGGTACACGAGTCTAATAGCTCGAAAGGATATCAAGACAAAGCAGGTAATACCACCTTAATATCCTAGTTAATTAATTGAAAAGGGCTTTGGGACAAAGGACTTGAAATGACTTGAGAAGACCAGATAGCATTGGGGGCTCAAATAATTTCTAACTTTTCGTGTATCGAAATGTAGTCGATAAAGCTGCCTTATGTAAGGCAACTGTAGACAGTGTTAAACCCTTGTCAAAAAGCCAGGTCAAAAAAAAGAGCTCTGGTTGGCACAATTGGGCAAAGTGGGTTCAATTTCCTTGCGAGACACCACTGTTGCTAAATGTGCCTCTTCCTTTGATAAATGTCCATTGTGGATCAATGAATAAATTGAGACAAATACATGCCAACCTTAGAAGTTAAACCCCAATGCTGTGCGAAGGACTGCATAACTTCCATGTATGAAGCTTGAGCTTTGGAATGTCTGGGTATATAATGTCAGATCGTGGCTGCCTGAACAGAGATGACCAAAGAGGAAGTGGCAGATGTGAGCAATCTTGAAAATACCGAAGAAGAGGAAACCATGGCTGAGCTGGCCAATCTGGGGCCATCAGCAGCACAAGACAAGGGGTGAATCGAACCACAGCCAGAACTTTGGGTAACAGAAAAATGGAAGGGAAGGCTGATGGAATACATCTGTCGCCAATGCCCGAGGATGAGGTACCGAGGACCAAAATGCCTGTAGTTGAGAATTCCAACGAGTGGGGAATATATCAATCATCAGTGTCCCGAACCGAGAGCAAATCCACCAGAAAAAGTTTGTATTATTCTGCAGAACACATAGCATATGGTGCCGATGCTAGTCCAAAAGGTAGAGCCCTGAATTGCAGTACCTGACCCTTGTGCACGAAACAGCTGGATTATTCTGCAATGGGAATGTGGAGATAGGCATTGGCAACATCGAATTTGGTCATCCACAGTCCCCATTAAAAATGACAGCGTAGGGTGAGGAATGACTTCATCATGAACCTGGGAGGACCTAAGAATTGGTTGAGAAGAGAAAGATCAAAGATCAGATGCCAATCTCCTGTCTTCTAGGACACAACAAATAAACGAGAATAAAATCCTGGAAGAACTGGGTCGACTCTCTCTACCATCCCCCTGATCAACAACTCTCTGATAGCCATGGAATGAAGGTTCTCAATCTAAGAATGTGTTGGAAGTGGAAACACTACAGGTTGGGGGGGGGGGCGGTAATGGTGGTGGTGATATGGACTGAATGACTAGCATCGGTACTAGAACCTGTAGTACCCATAGGTCCAGAAAATGTAACCGTGCCCCTACAAACTCCACCAGCATAGGGTATTCACTGATGTTGCTGGAGATGGTTCACCTGAGCAGAGAAGCCTCTCTCATAAGGACAGAATCTATTCTGGGTACCAATGGATCGAGGGGCTGATGTCAAGGGTTGGGACACAGCGTAGAAGGGTAGAACTTTGACTCCCTGTAAGGTTTCCTCCGTCACCTGATATTGCTGTTTGTGCAGGGAGGTTTACTGCTCAGTTACATGAAGGGATAGCTATGCCTTATCCGCCATGTTTGTTGCAACAACATGCTTTGGCTTACCACCACCAGGGGGATGCATATTTAGATTTCAATAGACTAGCCACTTTTGAAAATGTGGGGTTCCAGAATGGAGCCTGTGATCAATTTGAACAGATCACAACTTTCTAGGAATCGTCTGGCCCTTACTACAGTTCCAAGATACTTATCCCTTCAAATTGACAGTCACCGTGTCAATTTGATGATGAGTTGGGTAGAGATGCCTTGTTGAAGTGTGTTCTTCTATTAGTTTCTACCCAATGTGAGTTACATGAGGAACCTTTATTCGTCCTTTGATATTCCAGAGGCGTTAGAATCACAGATTGATGTCACCTGTTTGCAATCTTCATTGTTGTCCTTTCTTCGGTTCCAAGTATTCACTCTCAAACTTTTCTGCCATCAAGGAAGGTGTAGACTCAAATTCATGACTCAAAATGGCTTTTAACATAAATCATCTAGGCAACGTGAAAATCGCACCCAAGAACTTTAACAGTTGCAGAACTTTTTTAGAGAAACACGTTCCTAAATGCTTTGTCGAGAAAAAGTGATAACATTATCTGAATGAGATGCTTATATACAGTATCAAGATAGAGGGCAAATTGACGTAGGTGGAGAGTGTCACGAGATAAATATTTCCAAGGATAATTCAGTGGGGTATAAAAGATTGGAGCAAGCGAGAAAAAATCAGACCAATGCTTAGATGAGCAAAGAAAGAAACAATGGCAGTCGAGTAATAGCCATAAGTGGGAGAGGAGGTAAGTATGTTTTGGAATTATTTTTTTGGTTACTATTAAGTTCAATGTACTAGCTGTGCTCTGCCAACCTGGAATACCAAAAGATGATTTTTAGTTTCATAAGCTTGTAGACTTACTACTGAGCAGCTGAGGTGCAACTTAAATTAATTATTTATCATAGAATAACTTTTTGAAAATGTTTTACCTTCAAATTGTCAGTACACTTAAATTTCAATAAGTAAAAAGAAAGAATTCAGAGCTAGTTGTCAAATATTCCAACTTTTTAAAGTATGTGCTGATTTAAAAATGTTAATATAAAGTGTAACTTATTTCCAATAATGTAAAATTTTATTTTACACTAGCATCTTCGATCAAACCATGCATTTCCAAAAGCTGTGAGGACATCACAGCAAATTTCTATAAATTTTAACAAAAAACTTGCATAGAATGTTGTTTGTCTGTTTTTGGTGTGGAAAACCATAACAGTGTTTTTGCATGTTACAGCATGAAAGTTCTACATGTCAAACAAGGCCTGGTAACTTTCAGTACTCAACATGGTTTCACATACTGTACATTACTTTTGTTACGCCACGTATATCAGTTGTCTCAAACATATTTTACTAATTTATGCAGAATTCAGTGTACTTGGTAAAAAAAGTTAAAAGCTATATTTCATCACTTTAGAGCAAGAAAAAAAATGCAATATACATTAGTTTAAAAAAAGCACTGTCTAAAATAATCATAAAAAATAAAAACCTTTATTCATATCAATTTTCATGAGATTTTACTTCAAATATCTTTTTTTTATAGAATCACTACCATCAGTGCATGTAAAGTGAGCAGTTCTGATGGTTAAAAGGTATAACAAATGCACTAACCTGATAACTCCAGCACTTCCATGTACTTCACCATCACTCACCGTCCACTCAAAAGGAACACCCTCCAGGCTAGAAAAAGTGTCCTCTGTAGAGAAGGTGAATTAGATTGTTACATACACAACTGATCCTCATTTACTTACACTGAATAATTTCATATCAAAGCATTCTTCACTCAAGAAACAGTATTACTCTGCTTAGTATTTCTATTAACTCTCTCACTACAGGCTTGGTCAAAGTGAGAGTTCATAACCCCAAAGTGACCATAAGAGTTTCTATATTATAACTTTTAATGTGTACTTTACAAAAATTTGGCAAGTTTTCAGTGAACATTACAAGTCTTTTCCACATAAGAAATCAGATTTTAAAGTATTTACAAAGAGTTTTCATTGCTCTGAGTGGAAAATGTTTTCATGTTAAAATTAAAAATACATTTTATCTGAAAATCTTCAAATTTCATTTGTGCAACCTCTTTCTTTCACAAACTACCAACTGTTCTCTCAGACATTTCATACTATATTATTTATATCCAACAAAGCCAAATTTGAATCTATCAAATGATATATTATATTAGTTTTTTTGTACAGAGAATTGTCTGTAGTTATTGTAGTCAGAGAATCATTACCCAGTTTCAAATTAGTTCTCATGTGAATAACGTTAAAGAGCTTAGCTGAATTTTTTAAAAACTCTTATCTCATAGTTTGAAAACCAGATAAAAAAGTAGTCTTAAATTTCATTGACAGTCAACAACAACAACAAAAAAAAACAAGCAGACAAGTACTTATTTTTTGTTTTTCATATGTATTCTTTATTATTATGAAAGTAACTAAAATGTAATAATTTGAAACAACATTAGTTAAGATAATGAAAAATAATAATAATTCTTGATGAACATGCTCATGAGCATGTAAAATTAGAAACTTTTTAGGGTATAGAGATAGTAGAGTTAGGGTAGAAAAAATAATAGATAATAAAATATAGTTTTACAGAAAAAAACTTTTGATATTTATTTATGAGGTTTTAAAGATTGCACAAATGAAATTTCACAATTTTCAAATAAATAAAAATATTTTTATCCTTAACATGAAAATCACTTTGCACTCAGAACACACTGACTCCATATATTCATGGAAACATATTTAGTAAAAAATACTAACTAAAAAACGTCTGATATTTATTGAAAGCTTACAAAATTTTGTGAAGATACACAAAACAAATAAAAAGTTAAGGTATGGAAACTCTCAAGTTCAACTTACGGTCAGAAACTGAGTCAAATCAATAGCCCATAGTGAGTGTTAATTTTGAAAAATGTAGTATATTGGTGAAAGTATTACTATAGTTAATTATAATAACAGGTATAAAACCTACAAGCCTACTTTAAGCCCTCTGAAAATGTTTTAGCTTAAATTAAAAATTTAACTGCTATTTTCTGAACTATAAAATAAAATTAAGTGTATCACATAGTTTAGAATGATTTTAAAATATTACAAACTAGCAGATAGCCCATCAAAAATGATGGGGCAAGTACTACCACCCCCACCCCATAGTATACCCTAAACTCACATTTCGTATTAAATGGAATAAATAAATTTTGTAAAATCAAGCTTGACCAACAGAGGCAGAAAAGTGTAGTCGAGGCAGTCAAACGTCGGTAAATTCTTTTGTGAGCCAATCAAAATTAAGATCATTCATGAAATGAATTCATGGTATAGTCATGGAATAATTATTGGTAAAAATCAGTTAGATGAACAATTTCTAATATATAGAACAGTCAGTGCGTTTTGGTAACACTATGTTCCAACAATGGCTTTTATGTCAAGTTGCTTAGCAACAAAAGTATAACCTAATATTGTTGTTAGTCTATGTACTGAAAGTATAAAATGAAATGTATATATATAACAAAACTGGAAAAATATTTGTTGATTTCGTAATTTAGAGTCTCCGTTGATTAAAGAGGTTTGTTTTTCATTAAAAATGTTGGTGATATAATAAAAAATAGCTTAATTCAGAAACAATGTAAGTTTAAAATTTAATCAATATTTTAAATTTCATGAGAAATTTTATGCATTTGGCTCAAGTCTAAGTGATCCCACACTACGTCTTTCCTTTAGGCTTATTATACCAACACTCACTACACATATAAGGTTTCATAGCACACCTTCACGGCTCCCTTGTACCTTGTCACTAAAATCGTAACGGGCAGACAGTAAACGAACTGTCCTATCTAGAGAAATGCATTTTGACTTTTATGACTCCTCCTATTTCGAGAAATCGGGCGTTACGTGACGTGAAACACACTGGCTTTTATATAGGTAAGATATTATAATGCTTGATAATTTTTATTTTTAGCACCAAATTTTAGGCTTTGAGCCTGAAAGAAAGTTTAACTTTGAAATAACTCCAACTGTAGAATCTGAAGCAAGCCACATCTCAACTCAATGACTAATCTTATCTTGAAAACATGACACTTTTATGTAAAAATCTTCTTGAAACATTGGACATCCATTTCTAATAGCAGGAAACAGAAAGATATGTCTCAAACTCGTACTGAGCGTTTATATAGATGTTTCTCTATACGTTTAGCTTACTAAGGAGGTTTTTAACTGTTACCTTAGAAAACCCAGATTGGATCGATCTAACCACACCAGTTGTTTTTTTTTTCAAAGACAATTTGAAGGCTTTATCCTACGGTTATGACTTATAGTTTAAAAAAGAATCTGTGAAGACCTGCAGACATTTTTTTAAAGATAATCCCACATACCCAGCTTCAACAGCTAAGTTTAAGTCTCTGATCGATGAACCAAAGCCGAAAAGATTTTCTGGAGGCTAGACACCGAGTTTATGACAGATGGTGTTGTGTGACCTTTGTTTTTATGATTTAGTTATGGATAGTTGTCAGCGAGGGGCGGAGTAGGCTTCTGTTCTTTTAAAACAACACCCCACTGGGATATGATTATGCAGGCCCACATAAAGTCTGTACAAATATCAACCAACTCCAAAGGTAACTGAATTAAAAAGTAGACAATTCTTTTGACGATATTGTGCAGGTGCAATAGTAATTCGGCAAGCTTTGTTGAAGTTTCAGAAACAAGATGGGTATGTTGAAACCTGTGGTTTTTATTAGTCATATGGTGTACTGAGAGTTACACAGTCTTTAAAAATGCTGCTAAATATGGGCAAATTGGGAAATCGTTAACGTATGAACTTGCACTTTACCTTGTATCCGTATAGACCATTATTTATGTTTGTTTGTTTTACCGTTAAGCGCAAAGATATAAAATGGGCTATCTGTGCTGTGCGCACCACGGGTATCAAAACCAGGTTTTTAGCATTATAAGCCTTCAGTTATCGTGGAGCCACTAGGGTGGACCCATTATTTATTAAAGGTGAACAAAACCTTTTAAAAGCAAGGGAATTACGCGAAAGATTTAATTGCTAAAAGTTGCGTTTTGTCCAAGAAACTTATCTTTAACACATCAAAGAACAAATATCTGGATGATCGTGCATTTAAAAAAATATTACTTGGATGACTTTTATAAAACTACATTGATCGATAATATTTGTACTTTGTCTTTTTGAATTGAAGCAGTTGTGTTGTTCTATGATTTGTTCTCTTTCTAGTTTTTGTTTTTGTTTTTAATACCATTGTGTAAATATTATTTAATTACTAGACTACCCGTGACCCGTTGGGTCACCCACTATTCAGAGGTTATTCATAATTCAAGCTAATTACAATATTGCACCGAAATGAAGGTTTATTTTGAGATAATTTAATTAAATATTTCAATCCCTTCGTGTTATTCATAATTCAAGCTAATTACAATATTGCACCGAAATGAAGGTTTATTTTGAGATAATTTAATTAAATATTTCAATCCCTTCGTGTTATTCAT